GGGAACAATAGACTTCGGTCAGTAAAACTTTATATATCTGGCTTGGCAAGGCCAACTAGATACAAGCATATATGTAGAGTATGTTAATAATGAAATGAGTGAAATGAATAAGAAAATGAGTGAAATGAGTGTGAAATGTATAAAAGTGCAGGTGGTGTAGCAAAACATTAAGTTGACTAGTTAAGGGGTAACTGGGTTTTGCTTGCCAGCTGACATTTGCTACTACTAAAAAAAAACAAAAAAAAGAATAGAACTGTCATGTCAGAAAGTAGTACAGAGCCCAGAGATCCTTGAGCCAGTACCAGCGCATATTCTTGCAGTGTTGAGAAATGTGCTGGGGTAAGTCCTGAATCCGAGGAGGTTGCTGTCCCAAATTGCCTCTCCATGCCCAGCCAGTATACTTGAATCTTCTCTTGTCAATAGTTGTTTCTGAAGTGGGGATCCTGTATTCATACAGCCTGGCTGTTGAAGATCCTTCTTTCCATTCCCATATTGCTAAGGTTTGCGGCCAAATGGTTAAAGAATATTGTCCCGGTAAGTCCTTGATTTGAGCCTTTAACCTGGTTGTGGAGCACACGTATGTTTTTCCGGACAATGGCAGCAGATCCGAAAAAGCAGGGTCTAGCTTCAACAGCTCGAGTCGATTGGAGTTTCTCTTTAAGTGATCAGACTGAAAGACATTGGTAGTCTTCTCCACTTGATTTCCTTCATCGATAATTGATTCACTACCTGTAGCTACTACGCACGCTACCTTAGTATTGATCTTGGTAGTTGCTGTTCCAATGCGAGTGAGGCTCTCTGTTAGTTTCTCCTGCTCATCACCCAGACGTTTAGGGTGAAAGATTCGAGGAACATTAGGATTTTGACTGGGTTTCTCGGCAGGGCTTGGGCTGAGGATTGTCTTTGGTTTACTTTTAGGGTTCAAAGGTAACCCAAATGATCGATCTGAAACGGTCGTTCCTGTTTTTAATTCTTTTTTCTCAGCAGTAGTTGTCTTGAGAGGTGAATTTGGGCTTGATGGTGGTTGGAACGATGTCGATGCCGCGGTGATTGGAACCTCCTTGCGAGGACGTTTAGGATGGAAGATTTTAGGTGTATCAGACGTGTAGGCCTGTCCTGACTGCTTCGATGCGGATCTCCTGGTAACTCTGGTGGTCTTTGGAATGGTTTGGGTGTTTGACAAATTCTCTAGGCGTTCAGATGGTGTCGTTCCTGTGGTCCGGGAAAGCGACGAAGGCTTTCGTTTTACCTCAGTTTTAATTTGCTGCTGACCAAGATGCGAAACGTCGACAACGTTAATAAGGTGTCGCATCACCTTAAACGACCGACTCCGAAGCGTTGCATGACTGCGATTGGTTATTGGAGCCGCAAATCCTGTATTGATGATTGTCTTTCTGCTCGCTCCATCGTTGACGGGAAAGGGAGCTTCGGGATCCTCATTCAAAGCTGGCAATAACGTTTGTGCCTTCAAGATTGATTCTAAGTCCTCTAGCTTCTTCTACAATCTATTGATCTCCTGCTTGATAGATTGAAATTCAATTTTTAATGACATGAGGAGTTTATTTAAAAGAAAAATACTAGTGTTTGAGAAGTTGTCCGGCGGAAAAATGAACCAGTACAGAGATGAAAAAAGAGGGTGTGTGGTGCCCCAAGGACAACACAAAATCGAAATCAATGGTGATTGGATGATAACTGAGAAACAACAGCTGAAGTTTGCGTTCTGAGTCCAATAACCAGATACCGGCGATGGTGGTTTAAGTTAACCACAAACTAGGATAGCTGAAGTTTGGATCTGGATCCAGCGATGTGTGCGGTTGGTGGGGTGATTGAGATTGATGGTAGACAAAGAGTCGGAAGAGAAAAGTAATAATGATTTGTTCTGCGACAGTTGATAAAAAATGGAGCAGACTCTATTTTTCTAAAAAAAACAAACAGAAAAAAAATGATGAATCTTTTGGTTGGGAGGATTCCGTCCGCACAGGGCCTTCCAAGTGTACGGGTATAAGGGGTGGTCGCCAATTGTCAGCGGTGGGTTACTCCGAGGTGACTAGTTTCTGCTCGACGGAAGTTTACTGGAGTTGTCCAGTGGCTCCGATTTGTAGAAGGAAGCTGGTATGATCCAAAGAGTTTACGCCCAGGCCGTTGATAAGTTTTGAGAAGTTCAGGCTTGAGGATCCAAACAGTGATGTGTTGATGTGAGAGGGTCGAGCAAGCTTAAAGTAGTGATTTGTTGATGTATCTTTGAGCTCAAGAGGAATGGTTAAATAAAATGATGTTATTATTTTCTTCTCTTCTGAAAGTCTGGGGAACAATAGACTTCAGTCAGTACAACTTTATATATCTGGCTTGGCAAGGCCAACTAGATACAAGCATATATGTAGAGTATGTTAATAATGAAATGAGTGAAATGAATAAGAAAATGAGTGAAATGAGTGTGAAATGTATAAAAGTGCAGGTGGTGTAGCAAAACATTAAGTTGACTAGTTAAGGGGTAACTGGGTTTTGCTTGCCAGCTGACAATCATCATTTCTTTGGGCCAACCCATCCTCAAAGGCGCCATTCAGCCCCAGTCTGATCTGTCTCATGGCTTGTTGGGTTTTCCAAAATTTGGTCCAATCCTGTCTATTTTCTTATCACATCCAGAAATTTTAACCGATCCCAAAATGTGGCCGGCTGTCTCACAACTTATGGCAAACCAATTGACCCGTGGCCCAATTCAAACCCTTCACCACAAGCTCTGCTTGCCTGGATGGATCTTGCTCACTATGAACAACAATTCAGATTGTGCAGCTTTTGCAAGGCGGCAATTGAACTATTTGGCATGGCTAGGTTCCAAATCCCACACTATTTCAGGTCCGAATAAAGCTATGAAGGCAGTGATGACTGAGGTCTGGAAGATTCTGAACCATGGTCATGTGAATTCATTGACAGGAAACCATTTGAACTTCCTTCAAAATCTGGTTTCCACCCAACCTGTGAAAGCAGCTGGCTTGGTTTGACTTCCATCTTACCAGCCTTACTCTCTTTCCTTCCGCGCTCATCCAACCATGTCAGATCCTCGCTCTTTGGCATACCCAAGCTAATCCTTGACCACATCATTGATTCTGGAGAGCACCTTCCAAAGGTCTATGCTTGCTTGGCTATACTACTGCGCCAGTTGGGGTCTTATTTCTGGACGATGGCAGAAGAAGCGTCAGATAAACCGGCAACTTTGGACATTGTCCTCCTACCATCACCTGACAAAGCTCTTTGGAAAGTATTAGAACACAATGACTCTGTTTCCAATATGGCTTCCCCAGATTTTATCACACAGTCCCTCAACTGGCTTCTCCCTTTCATCCAATCCGTGACTGACTCAAATCAATTCTCAACCAGCACTTTCAACATCCTCCAAAACATTTTGGCAGACAAGCTCCAACAATCTCCATACGACGTGACTGTGCGCATTTGAGCCGCAACCCTCATTTTGGCAATCTGGCAGGATCTTAATGCCCCCAAGGCAATTTCCAATGAAACAATCTTCAATCCTCACGACAAGTCACCCAAATTGCCCCCAGAGCTCGCAATAGCCCGCGCCCGAGTCCAGAAATTTCTACTAAGATAGGCCAGTGGGCAAAAGTCCAACCTCAAGCCCAACAGATCATTGAAAAGATAGTGTTTCATGAATCTGAGAACTTGTCTACTGTTCTACGTGAGCTTAGTGAGACTACATCAAAGACCAACAAGGATGTGTTAAAATTGGTTGACGTCTCAAATCTCAACATTCATATTTCAAAACCAGTTTGGATTAAGATTTACAAGATTTCTAATTATTATTCGTAATTGAATCAGTACCTCATGAAGGTGTATTCCCTCCTCATATGTTCGTTGTCTCACTGCGCCCACATTGACCACCTTGCCAATATCTTGTGGCTCCCTCCAGGAAGGCCTACAAACTCTTTTCTTGAACCTACTATCACCGCGCTCAACAATGCAGTGTTAACCATCTGAGCCCCTTTAGTTGATGCTCGGATTTTGTTGAGATGAACTCAGATGACTGGAGAGAGTAGTGTTGGAAAGGATTGGATGATTCATTTCAACATGGAGAAAGAGAGAGAAACAAAAGAAGAAAAGAACATACCTGGAGACAGTAGTGTTGGAAAGGATGAGGAAAGAAAGTCCTCCCAAACACAACTGACTCCAGTATATGAACTGAAAGAAAAACAGGTGAATGTCACAGAGTGTGACATGAGAGAAGTGAAATCAGAAAGAAGCATACACTGTGAAATGAGAAGTGACAGGTATCTCAACAGATTTATCTCTCTGGCTCTACGTATGGTTCACAACTCCTTGCAACATTGCTGAAAGAGAGTTCAATCATCAAATCTGTCATTCCTCTAATCTTTTTCCCTAAATATGGCCTGCACACCTCATTACTGGCCTTAGTTCAACAGTGGTCTGATTGCAAGTCTTGCCTCGATCGCTTACGCGCTTTGCTATCAAAGGGTCAACAGGCTGCATTCAAACGCCTTGTAGGTGCCTTGAAGAATGTTGATCTACATTCAAGAATTCTACCCAATGCTATGAGCTTGGCTTGGCCCTTTGTGAGATGCATGAACAATGTCATTAGCATCTTTTGCTCACCCACTGATGGATTGTTGAGAGATCAGGCTTACGTCCAATCCTTGAACACCTCCGAGATCGTCAAGTTTTGGAATTTGATGTGCTCTTCTGTCTTGAACATTTTTGATAGGACTCCTCATTGGGCCAAATTGTGGCTATCATCTGAAATGACCAAATGGATGCGAGATACACTAAGGTTTACTGAAAAGTTGGTGATGACATTTCAGATTTTCGAATTGGCAGCATTTGGTTGACTCAATGCTGAAAAAGTGGCTGAAAATGAAAGTCTTCGATATAAAATGGTGGATTCTTTTGTGGCGCCAATGGAGTCGTTAGTGGCTTGGCTCCGACTGAATGATCCTGATCTTCTTGATCGCAGTACTGGAGTGATAGTCCAGATGTTGGACAAGATTGGAAAGTTTAGACGGCCACTCAACCCGTCGGTTGTAGGGAGATTAGCAAGATACATCGAACCACCACCAAGCACCTTCACTGAACAACAGTTTGTCTATCTCAAGAACGCCCTGGCCACGCACCCTGATTTGGCAGCCCGTTTCACGACTATCATCGGCAATGAAGACAAAATCCAAATCGCAGAACCAGGCAGTGATACTGCTGGCTCCCTTGCTGACCCGGCAACACTTGGCACTCAGATGGCTGTGCCCCTCCTTCAGCCGACTAACACCCGCCGTGAAACTCTTCCAGTACAACCCCCCTCTCTTTCCCTGGGCCTAGTGTCCCTCCTGGCCCACCTAAATCATCATCGTTATCTGCCATTAACAAATGCAACAACCTCGACCCAAACCTGCGCCTTCACTATTCATCAAAAAACCTAAGGAAAAACATATCTCCCTCTCTCATTCATTGAAATGTATTATTATTGACGTTTTTTCTTTGGTAAATGATATTGATAATGAAACAAAAAAACAGCGGCCAGAAGGCAATCCGATTTGCAGACCCAATCATCCTGCACTGGTGAATTGTCCGATGGCCGGCGGCAAGGATCATTGAAGTGTTCGACAACAGTTGAAAGACCAGGCTAATGCAATCCAAAGACCCAACCATTGTTAGAGGGCTATAAAGACAATAATACTATCTAAAGTTGCAAAAAAGTATGAATCAAGTACCAAGATGATAACTAAAGTGACCACCTGTCATGGATGAGTGAGGCATAATGTCAAAATCTTGACAATTGAGATGCAGAACAACTGCAGGGGGTAAAATAAAATCATTGAACTGCTTTTTCTTTCAGAAATAGTAAATGTGTGATTCAAAAAGCTAGGAGTTATGTCTATTGTTTTTAGGATTGTTGGGAACGTTGCACCTAAATGTTATGGGAAATATCTGAAAGTAAAGCTCTATATAAAGTACATAAAGCAATGATTTTGCAAAGGTGGGCACACAATCAATGGCACCACAAGCTGGATGACAAAAGTTTGCTACCTGTATTAATTGCTATCACTGAATTCCAGAGGATTCCAGTGCATTTTCAAACAAAGGATTGGTTGTACTCGTATGTGTGTACAATTTTTTTTCTCAGTACTATCCTCATCCAAATCTGTCGTCCCACAAACCCAATAATTTGGTTATTGGACTTTTTTCTTAAGCGTAGATTCATTTGCAATGAACGGTCAGTTGGCTTCTAGTCATCAACTTTTAGTAATCAACTTTCATGTTCTACACTTGATTGAACAATTAATTGATTACCTCCTTCTTCCCCATTGTTCACAGCATTCAAATCCATCTCAGATCTCCTTTTGAGAAGAAGTTTTCGACTAGCAATGTTGTTAGCAACATGGATTTATTGCCGCCAAACCTATGTTGATTTGTCTGCTTTCAACATCCAAAACCAAGTCTGCTCCCTAATTGAGATTCTAATCTTGAAGCCATTAGGGCTAGAACCGATGGAGGGTTTCTGTGACGTATCGACATCATGGAGCGGTTTAACAATCTTAGGGGCAACGGTGGCCTATGCCTTCTGTTGCACTTGGTTAATTGTCAAGCAAGAAATTCAATCATTTTTGGTTGAATTAGAAGCATGAGCCTTGTGAGTTCTCAATCAGGAAATTGAGCCTTAACCAAGCAACTTATGAAGTCTCCTTGGCCCTAATCTCAAATTTTAGGCCGTTTAACAGCAACCAAACAGGAACACAGCCAAATCAGCAAAAAAATGCATGATGTTATCCCATTTATATTTCCCTGGTTTCCTATGCCATTGGCAAATCTGTTATTATTGCCCTGTATATCACAGAAAATGATGGGGATGCTTCTAATGACATTTCCCAGATTGTCTCATGGGTCCCCCTTGTCCCCACAACACCCTACAATTTTTTTTATTTTCCAGAAAAACCTGCACAATAACAGGATCACGAGGGATTTCAGCAGGGGTCTTAGCCTGCTTTGGAACAATTCTTTTTGCCAAGCAGGCAACCCAGATTCTGTGTAACCTACCCATGTGGAAGCATTTCCAGTGTGTCCCGGGGTACAATCATGTCACCAAAGGTGAAGCCTTTCCAATCATGACAACCCAACATCTCACTCGACCTATCCATGTTGCTGGGTTACAATTGCACTTCAGCAAGCATCACCTTAGTCATGGTGACACTAAAATCCCCCACCATGTTATCTTATCTAAGTGTAGCTGACATGGACTTGCCCAGTGGATAAACCAAACAGATCTTGACAGTCACACTCTTTGTCATGCAAAGCCAACGCTCTGCATTGGATAAAAACATGTAACCTTATGTAACTATGTATTGGATTGATGAGCTAAACACTAATGACAACCTATCCTTACCAAGGTTACTCTGGGTCAGCAGAATAATACATGCGACTGTATGTATTTGAACACACAAATCAGACCAACTGACTCCTTGGTTTGATCCCTCACACCAAATCTCCATCACACTATCCAGTGCAAGTCCCCCTCTCTGGTGATCTTAGGCATCCTTGCAAGATGACACTCCACTACGCTTGTCCTCATCTATCTACTTGCTGCAATGTCAAGTATAACAAGAAGCATTGCGATTACCACTCCCGTCTAAGCCTTCATTGAATCAGGAAGCATACTCTGAACAAGAAGATTCATGCAAATTGCCAGCCTCTTTGCCCGACATATAAGCTCAATAGTAAGGGTTTCTTTTAACTGTCACAGATTATTTAACAACATGAATGTTATTTTCTTAGGTCAATCAGTAAATACATTTTCCTTTCAATATTCCTTCGATTGAAGCTCTGGAGTTGATAACCCCCAGAATTCTATGGACTCAAGTCTTGGTGATGGAAGAAAAAAGGGACTTCAAGTGAACCTAATGAAGGAAAGGAATTTTTGTAAGTCATCAGTTCAGTTACTTTGCTCCTTCAGCCAAAAAAGGCTGACCCTCCACTACCAAAATAACTGCAAAGCTTCTGGTATTCAGATGTTTCTACAAATTGCCGCTTATTGCTTATTAATCTCAACCTGGTCGGAAAATGAATTCCCGTGGACCTTCAATTAAGTGGATGAAGAGTTTAAGATGATATGCAATCTAGCTTGTACCAGATTACGCTACATCCTGATGTATTCCTTTAAAGTGGCTGCGGCCAACACTTTTTGTGTGACTGTGATACAGCTTATTTTATGTGCAGTGTTTCTGTTTTGATAGGCTGATGGTTTACAATGCAACCTTCATTATAACTTTTCTCTGCCTCCATAAAAGTGATACATCATACAAAAAACCTTAGGCCCCGTTTGGCCGTCCATGATTTGTAATTTTGAGTTGAGTTTTGGCAGGAGTTTGTGCAAAAACCTTATATCGTTTCATATCACACGGTCCAAATCCCAGCCAAACTTAGCCAAATCACAAATAATGATTTGCCGCCAAACGGGGCCTTAGATCTACATACTCATTTGATGCATGAACAGGCCCTTGTCTAAACCAAAAAACAAAACTATGCAGATTAATATTGGAGAGTCTTGAATGTGTGACATTAAACAAGTATGTATGAATGTGTGTTGAAAGTTCTGGAAATCAATGAAAAAAGATATATTGAGAAAGAGAGAGATCAGAGGGAAGAAAAGAACACAGAAAAAAAAAAGAGAAATTGATGGGAAAAAAAAGTTGCACAAAGAGGGAGATGATAGGAAGATGAGAGGCTGGATTGCAGCTCAAGGAGACTGAGCGTTCAGAATGATCGAGTCCGATTGGTCGATAAGACTGTTGATTTTGAGAAAGAGATTGGCGACAGATAGGGTAGCAAGTTCGAGTGGATGGAGGACAGTTGGCTGAGACCTGTTTATCGGTTTATCAAGACGTTGACTAGGATTC